GTAGTTCTCCTGGGAGCAGCTTTCCCTTCTGCAGAAAGCCACTCTTCCTTAGCCTCTCTCACTGCCTGAGTTCAGTTAGAAGACTCTCTCCTTCATCCCAGTGGTTGTGTCCCAGGCATTGTGAAATATTAGTGCTGTCAGCATTTGCAGCTGTAGGAAGTCAGATATAAGCCCTAGTGTCACAGTATGCTGCTGGCAATGGAGCCTGGTAGCCCTATCACCAGCTAGGGCATTCAGCACACAAAAAAAAAAACAGTTAAATAAACCACAGAACCGGTGATCAACAGAAGACCTGCCTGCTCGTTCTGCTTGGAAAGGAAATTCCCTCCTTTTGAGCTGGCTGTTCAAGTGCCACTCTTCTCTGAAAAGCACCTGATGTAACATTACATCCTCCACCCAAACCAACAAAGTTCCTCAGCAAAAGTTTCAGATCTGGGAGTTAAGGTAGATGACTAAGTCCACACCAGCTCCTCTGTTAAAGCAAGAAGGATTTTTAGGGGCACTTAGCAACTCTGAGGACAAGCAATATGACAGATGTAAGGGCAAATGTGAGGCAGTGGAGTTCAAAATTATCTCTCTGGGTACTGACTTCCTGCTCTGGACACCCTCTATTCAGGGAAAGAGTCACCCTACCTTGCATGGCTGCCTGCTCTGTATTCCTCCTCCTCAATTCAGGCCCAGTAGGGCCTTCATTCTGAGATCTGCAAATTGAATAAACAAAATGTTTTTCATTGCGAGGCCACGTTCAGTCCTTGGTGTATGTTTGTAATGATATAGCCAAAACTATCCAGGGAGGAACCCAATAACATGTTGTCACATGAGGAAGAAAGAGCATTACTTATCTTTTCAGGCCTTTATATTGCTCCTGATTAAATCAATAGGAAATTTGTCTTTGGTGTCTAAGAGAGCAGAAAGCTGCACTATAAATTAAAATTGAGTTTTCAAGGTGTTGAGTTTTTTTTTAACTCCTGCCTTTTTCAATAAACTTGCAAAATGGGACAAGCTTCTCTGCCACCAATAAAAAAAAAAACTTTCCAGTGCAGAACTGCAATGCTTTCTAGCAAAATGTCTAAATCTAACTCCTCATTCCTTCAAGTTCCCCACCCCATGGCCAGCCTGGCAGCCTTGGAGCCTGTGAAAGGAGGAATGTAATGAGTATACATTAATGTTACACACTTTCCACAGTTCTTCTTCTGGTGTGACCAGATTTATGTATGGAGTAGTTTGAATGTAATTCATCACGGTTATACATTGCATTGACTTCAACGTTTCTGCAGGTAGCACCGTCTCCAAACTCTCTTAGCCACAGCTGTATAAAGGAACTGAGAAGTGGAGACACAATGTTCATTTGTTTTGGTGGCAAGACTCAATTAAAACAACATAACAGAGTCTAAGAAAATACTAATCTGTGAAAAAATGTGAAAGTGAGTTAAGTAAAACCTTCAACTATTCCCTTGTTCATGACAAGCTGTGTGGGCTGACAGATTGTCCCAAGGGAGTGAGAGGTCTTAGAAAAGGCCCTGCTACAAAAGGACTGGCTGTTAAGGCAAATCCCCACCAGTCGGAGCCCTGAGGAGGGTGAAGCCCAGCTATTGATGCCCAAAGACAGAGAAGACATTGTGAAGGAAATATGGGGGATGAGAATGGCAGTGGAGGAAACAAAACAGGGACTGCCTCCCACACAGGGGAACAACAAACCTGTGAAAATAAGGAAGTCCTTTTTCACTAGAGAGACTTTTAAGGAAGAAAGACATATCCCATGGCTTTCAAAATGCTACCTGGGCCACTAGTGATCTCCATCCTACCACAGCTTGAGGCATGGGGGGAGACAAGAAGGCAGGTTATTAAAAGTAAAATGGAAATACAATGAAGGATTCTTTGATTCTTTTCAAGTAAGAGTCAATTCAATTGCTGCTATCTTCAGAGGGAACAAAAAAAAAATAATAAGGTGACCTTAAGTATTGCTGACTTCCCATTTCCATCCCAAGTTCTGCAATAGCCAGTGCTGTTCCCAGGGCACCAGGCTCCTCAGGCCTTGCCACCGGAGCTCTCATTTCTCAGAGAATTGCAGTTCAATGACACCATGTTCTAAAGCCTTTTTTTTCCACACATAAGCTATAGCCATTAATGTAATGAAAACTGTTAGAAATAGTCATTTTAGACAGTCTCAGCTGGGAGTAGGTGAGAGAGAGGAAGAAGAGCCATGTAAGGAAATTTGAGTCTCTGAAGCTGAGAATAACATCACAGAACTAGGATTGCTGAAGGGAAGCAAAGCTCTCTCATTGGTTTATACTGTCCAGAGCCATAAATGGATTATAATTGAAAACAATAATAATAATAATTTAAAGTTAGAGAGTGCTTTTAATCAAAGAACTTAGAGGTGATTTTACATATTTGCATTTCTCATCTGTTGCTACACCTCTCTTTGTAGTTACTCCTATAGCTGTTTCATGGTGTACTGTACAGGAGCCCTGAAAACCAAAATGCAATGCCCCAGGACACAGTCAGAGCAGCTAACAGGACTACAAAATCCCTCTTCCTCCTAAGCCCCAAGTCTCACCAAAATCCCTAAGATATCTATACAGGCAATGTTGGTAAGTGATAGGACTATAATGACTAAAGACAAAAAAAAATATTGAGGAAATATTCAACACTAAAGAAAGACACAGTCTTTCCTTATTAAAGGAAAATAATGTTGTATCTCTAAGTCTCCCATTCAGCTCCTAAATTCTAATACTTGAGGAGTGAGAAAACAAATTACAAGAGGCCTGCACATGACAGAATATGTCCCATCTGTGAGGCTGGATTTACTTCCCCAAAACTTTACCCCATAAGAACCCTCTCACATGAAGTAAATCAACTAAGGGAGAGGAATCTATTTGCAACATCCATTCTTCACACTGAATTGCCTAACATGAAGGTTGTTCCCACAAAGTAAGCAGAGTATTCAGCTGTGGAAGCATAATTAAACAACATTTGTGCGGTTCTTGGAGTTCTCAAAGAGAAGATGTGGCCAGCAAGATCCAGGACAGCCTATTAGCAGCCTAGTTTTCTCATGACATGAGCTTTCTTGCATACCCCATGGCACTTTCCACTAAAAGCAGTATTGCATTTGTTTAAATTTGCATTAAGAACAGAAATACTTTGTTTCTTAGAAGGCAAAATCCTCCCAGCAATTACTTTACTAGATGAGCATCTCTGCTTTCATTTTAAAAAATAAAAGGAGCTGTCTCTGGTGTGTGTCAAGAGCTGCAGGGACTACATGGAGCTTGCGACACTCAATCTACCAAAGAGGTTCAAGGAAGCTCACAGACTTAAGACAATGCCAGCAGGGCACTCAGAGGGAGGTGACAACAGAGCAGCCACATGGCCCTGCAATATCTCAGACCGCCCTGCCCTGAGCCTCTGGTGGTCTCCAAAGAGTCTGTGAGAAGGGATGCAGTGCCAACAAGCATTTTCCTCACTTTTCCCATATTCTACAGCTTCTGTCTGGGCCTGGTAATGCTGAACTTCATCTCTCTTAGTGCAATTTAACAGAAGAAAATATCAGGTTTAGCATCAATAATGGCTAAGCCCACCTCCAAATCTCCCAACAAGCTGCACAGCCCTGAACACGATGACATCCCTCTCACTCACAGAACAGGCCTTTGTCTTGAGACACTGACACAAAGCCAGGAACAGTATGTACCATGCGTTGCTTCAACATATTCAACTTTTATTTGGGAGGTCATATCCTATGCTGGCCCTTACAATTCTGTGCTCAGGAACTGACAGCAACAAAAACCACACAGCCCAGCTGAAGTGATGCTGGATGGGCCCTTGCATTGTGAAAATTACAAATTCGCAACACAGTGCTGCTTAGGAGCTGCATCCACAGGCCCCACATCACTGTAGCACTCTGTGAACTCTAATAGATGTGGCAGAACAGATCATTAACCACCAGACCTATGACAGATTCTTTCTTGCAGAGGCACCACATACTTGTATCAAAAATGGGTGTGCTGCTTTTGAACAAACCACATGGAGAGAGCACCATTGGTTTGAAAAGGCCTCACACACCAAACATTTTCTCCACAGAACTACCTTAGCTGACTAAACAAGCACCTTTTTTGATGCTGATACAAAGAAAACTACAGTAACATAGGGAGAGTTTGGGAGCCCCAGATTCTCTTTCCCCAGCTCCCAGTTGCTAGTTGATATCTATTTTCATCTCAAAATCCCAGAGAAAGAGCTGGGGATTTAAAACATATTAATAGCAACATTTGTGGAACTTGGATGTAAGTAGAAAAGTGGTCAAAGGGAAGACTTTGGAGGAATTACTTGAACCTTGGTCTGTGTGCACTGCTGGAAAGCTTAATGCTTCTCCAGCAAAGTTCCAGTCTAGTTTTACAAGCATGGCAGCCTTTGCACATTAGCACATGTTCTGTGAAACATCACCCCGCTTTCCCAAAATAGCGGCTCTAATGAGTTTCATGGTAGGCCTCCCGCTGATCAAACATGGGTTTATGAGCAATACAAGGGACCAACAGGGTGCCTGTGCCCGTGCATTGGCCCGAGTGCAGGCACACTGCAGAATGGCTTCTGCCCACACAGGCACTGTGTGCTGGCTCGTGAACAGGGACACACTAATACAGTCACACCGCAGTTCATTCATAAGTTCAGATAAAGTAGTAACAACCTTTTGAAAGTGTTCAACAAAATCTTTCAAAAATGTAGTAGTCTGGATACACCTTTTAATTGGAAATGGAAGCTAAGACTCATTGGTACACAGATGACAAAGGTTAAGCCTCTCTCCTCCAGTGGACATACAAGACACAGAAAGAAAAAAGACAAAAAGATAGAAAGCTTTCCACGCCCTCCCTACTTCCACTAAATGTACACAAGTCCCTCTAGAAATCAGCAGTAAGCCTGGGCTCCACCTGAGGGCATCATCTTGACACAAGGACACACATTAGGTTTACATGCAGTACTCAGTCCTAAATGGGGATATTAATACTTACCTTCTGTTCTTTAAGGTTGCTGTAACAGGGCACAGGAGCTGGGAAAAGCAATATGGCTCACCAGGAGATACCAATCATTGGGACAACAGAAACTTTCAAGGCCTAAAGATAAATTTCTCTGGCAAGGTGGATCACATGGCTTCTGTGGAAGTATGAAAAGCAGTCAACATGCCGTAATCTCAACCTCTAACACATGATTAGATGGATACTGATCTTCTATTCTGTCCTGGTTTAGGACAAATCTAGGAGAAAACCAGTCACCCCAGGACATTTTCAAAACATCAGTATTTTACCACATGATAAGAAACACACTCACATAACCAGAGAGAAAAGTGGAATGACAAAAATGTGACCTTGGTCCATGACCAGGGCAAAGGCACATGGCCATAGCCTGTAATGCAACTGAGAGATCCTGATAATTGCAGCTACAGCAGAAACATCCCAAGCACACAGCTCTAAACCCAAGAGCCTTTATACCAAAGAGTCCAACATACTGCCATCATAGAAGGAAAGAGTTCTTCACATGTGATAATTATACAAGAAGAAGTGTCCCATCAAAATACCCAGGCAGTCTCCAAATCACTCCCTGCCTACAGCTGCAGGCCCTTTGAAGCAGCAGATTGCTGGCCTTGAGCTGGATGAATTGATTATACAGCCTAACTTGGATATGACTGGCAAGACTTTAAATTGGACAAACCTACCACAGAAGGACAAAAGTATTGCCTGTACTAGGTAATTTTTAAGCTCTCCCCACCACCCAAAGAAGCTCAGCAAGGTGAACTGCTGTGTTCCCATCAATTTCTCCCTACAAGATCTATTTCCAAGGAGACAGGAGCTAGGCCTAGTTACTATAATGGAGTCCCAGCTCTTAAGATCTTGCCCTCTTTCTGCATTGGGTGCACATTTACCTTGGTATGCATTTGCTCAGCCTCTCACTATCACACATACAATTAAATTCAGCTTCTAAAAGTTCTACCTGTAATTGGAACCAGCTGCAACCTTTCTGACACATACTAATTGCCAGTAATGATTTAAGTGCAGTCAATTCACATGCTGCAATTGTTTTAAATAAAGGAATCTCTCTTACCTTTTCCCTGAGAAAAATCTGTTAATCTTTGCTGCTGACTTATCAAATCCTCCAGTCACCTGTTTGCCATCATTTTCATGAGCTGATAACGTGTTTATTAGAGCCATAATGTGCAGGTGGAAGCATAAAGGTCTCATTTGGAGTATGAATTCTGTCTCATATATCTGTATGGAAAAGCTTGGTTTCACCCTTCAGCTGTGCCTCAGAAAAGAATAAGCTCCAAAATAGTATCTTTTATTCTTTTCAAATTAAATATTAGTTCTTTTAAGCTCAGTGCATATCTCAAAATACCATTTGGATGTGCGTGACAGGTTGGTTTTTGTTAAGCTCCAGATATCATCACTACCTATGGTAAATCTATCTAGCCTTAGTTAATTTCCATTTAACTGTATTCTCCTTTTAATTATTTTTCATATATAAAAGCAAGTTCTACAAAATAGTAAAATGTCATGTGGATTCTGTAAGGCTGGCTTAAGAGTGCTTTCCAAAAATTATTTTAGTTTCCTGCAGAAGACCTGACCTGAGATATTGCAGACAACACACTTCTGGCAGAATAAACCCAGTATCTCTTTGGAAGTTTTGCTTTCCTTTCTGCAGTGTTTGTGGGTTATGGTTGGGGTTTTGGGGGGTTAGATATTTTAGGGGTTGAAGTGTCTGATTGTTTTTAAGTCATGCTAAAGAAATTACTACAGTCTGTGCAGTGGGTTTATCAGTCTACATTTTCCACCACTGAGTTACCCAGAGTGGACAACCAGAGAGCAAATGGATGTTCTGCTGCAGCTGAGTTCACTGGCCCTTTGTCTGGTTTATGTGTGTGTTGTATTGAATGCACTTAGCTCCTGGGGCAGCATATACTAAAATCCAGCTTTAAATGGGTACCCAGATATCTGGTAATATATAATGGCAGATAACCCAGGTATCTGCCATTTCCAGAAAGATATTCATAACCCTTGCCTCACCTGTGAGATTCTGCAGGAGAAAAAAAAAAAAAAATAAATGTATGGACCAGAATTGAAGCGAGGATGTTCTGCCAAATATTTTTAACTATCTAACAGAAAATAGAAAAGAAATAAGTAAAAAAAGAAAAGTACTGACCAGCCACTCAAGGAATCAAGGCAGATTTTTCATGTGAAAAAATAACTCTGAATCAAAAGAGAAAATGTATAAGGAAAAAAGGCTATAAACAAAAAGCAAAACAAAAACCTAAATTATGTTTGGGACAGACCTTCCAAGTGCAAGAGGAATTTAATCTGAGTTGGGATTCCTTGAATTGGCTCCTGAAAATATAAAGTAGGGGTCTAATTCTAGGACAGTAAGTGGTTTACTATTAAACAAATCTAGCATGCAATAATTTCCTTCCACAATTCCCATGATTTGTGGCACAGACCCAAACCCTCTTCCATGATTCAAGTCCAAACCTCCCAGGAGAGATGCGATGGCCAGATTAGTTTTAGTGTATGAGTAGTTTGGGTGAAATGACAAATGCTAGCACTCAGTCACACTGTGGAGAAGAGATGACCACAGTTATGAGCAAAGGGCAGAGCTCCACTGGCACTTTATTATTAGCGTCTTGAATATTCGTAAAAAAGTTGTGTTTTTTTTAAGGTAAATAACATTTTCCTACCTAACTGGCCAGCCCTCAGGGACAATTTGTTAGTCATTCCACAGCATGAGCCAATTCCTCTTTTCCATCGAGAACAGAATGTCTCAGCAGATCCAGTAGTCTACCAGGCTGATGTTCCGAGCGCCTTACAACTCCTGAAGTCTGCTTCTATGCCCAGTAATCTCCTGAATCTGCATTTTACACAAACTCTGAGCCAGTGCTGACCATGCCCAGACTAACGCCTCCTGGAATAGCCTTCCCTACTGCTGAAAACCTTGCCAGAGCAAATAATGTACCAGTTTGCTGATGCAGCCTATTCCAGAACTCCTCCTAGCTTTAACCTTTCCAAATAGTCCCTAAATGTAAAATACAGTTAATCTATGCCTCTGACTCATCAGATTATTCACTCCAAATTTTATATTTGTTGTTAATTTCCCCCTTTTTCTTTGTGTTTGCAGATTAATCACAGATCAATCCATCAAAACATGTGAGAAACAAGTCCCAGCCTCATGGTCTTTGCTCACAACTCCTTGCTCCTGATACAAGAGTGATCATTTCTACCACATGTTATTTCCTCCTTTTCCCTGACTACTTGGCTGAAATTCTTGAATTGAGGAGGATATTGACAAGTATCAAATAATGTACGAACCTTTGACACAGCATTGCAGAAAAGAAAAAAAAAAGAGGCATTTCTACTAAAATTTGTGAACATCCCAGATTCACCAGTTTTTCTAAAAATACCTCTTAGATACCCCAGTGTTAGAAAATAAAAAAGAATTGGAGAATATAAAGAAAAAATAATGAAGACAGAAATGGAAAAAGCCTTGCAACATTTGGCTGTAAAAGTTATCATTGGAGAGATCATATTATGCAGTTAGTTCTATCTAACCACCTCACCTAAAACTTGTGGCAGTTAGAGATAATTCAACAGTGGAAAGCAGAAAGGCAGAGGTCTGCCTCAAAGGGCCAGCAACATCCTTTTTTTTCCTCTCAGAGCAGTTCCTACTTCATGTGTGGTGTCCCACATGCCCAGTGGACCACGAGCTCTAAGTAGGAGCACTAAGCCAGTTATTCCTGTTTTTGAAGGGGAAGTGAGGGGAGAGACAGGAGGAGGCAAAAATGGTGGTGACTGCTGGAAAAGCAGAATTTGAAGATCAAGATTTCCTAACCGAAATTAGATGAAAAGATGACTGAAAAAAGAACTGTGTCTCTTTGGATATTTTCCAATATTTCCCAAAATGTATCTAAACAGCACTGGTCTTATCAGATAGAGGCACTGAGAGATGGATGTGAGCCAGCTGACAGCCATGTGAGCAAAGGAGGGCAAGGGACAGGCAACATGAAAGCTCAGGCTACTGCAGAGCAGGGGAAAGCGTAGGCTGCAATTTCCCAGGCTGCCCCTTAAGCATGGAGAAAGGAGAGGAATACCACAGAAACAAAGCAGGCCATGCCTGAACCCCTGGGTGATAAACATTTAAGGACAGGGAAGAAAATAATTGCTTAGAGCCATTACAAACCCAGCAGTGCTGAGTTCAGCCTGGGCCAAGCTCAAGCACTGCAACCCAGCTTGCCAAACTTGGAAGTGGCTCCATACAAACCTAAGCAGCCTCTTACCTTCCTATCTGATGGGCATTTAATGCAGTTCCTCCATCTCCCACGTGTGAACAGTTGTAATGTTATGTTCTTACTTGCTACAGGATACCAGAGCTGTAATAGCAGTGCAAAGGCTGGAGAGAGATCAGGACAAGAACGTAGGATTAAAGAAAAATTTATTAATTGTCATTAATAAAAAAAATCTAAACAGAGTTGCAAGTTTCTGTATTTATCATATGAACTTCCCTTGAAAACAAACAACCCCTAGTCCCCTGAGGACTTTTCCAACAGTCGCTGAAGATATCTAATGAGGCAACATTTAAGAGACCTAATTATAAGAAAAAATAAACCTTGATAACAATCTTATCCCACGTACAGCTCAAATATGAGTCAGAGTTTATTTTAATAATCCTCTCAGGTTAACACAACACAGTCCAAGCTACACTGTAGCAACGCAGCTACTGAGAGATCATGAAGAGGGGCTCGGAAGTCACCCACAACAGGATGCCTGACCAAAGGGAGGTGAAAGACCAGAGATGTGCTGTGGAGGGCTGCAAATAGGAGCCTCGAGAAAGCGGGGCTTTGCATTGCAAACTCATATCATTCTATCAATTTTGGCCACTTTGCTCTGATCACCTGTGTCAACAAGGCATTTCCTCTGTTCTGTACCTTGAGCCACATTGCTGCACCTGCCCTTGAGGGAGGAGTTATTGGATTAACCCAGCTTCCTCTTATCTGTGTTTACTCACCAAAATTACTCTGCAGAGAAAACTCCCTGAAATCAGTCCCTGAGCTGCAGTTTCACTCATATGCAAAAACTCAGATGTAGCATTAAGTATGCAGAGCTTAAAAAAAAAAAAAAAAAAAAGAAAAAGAAAAAGGAAAAAAAATAGAAAAAAAAAGTTACCTCATTGTGAGTAACCACCACAAGCCAAGCTGGGTGAAGTCACTGGGGATTTTTCTTTCCAGCACGCCCACACCACTGGGACTCTTTAAGAGGGACAGACACCTGCAGTGCTGCTGGGCAAAGGCAAACCTTTTTTTCCCCACTTTCCCTGAACTGGGGGAGAAGAAAGTGGGTAACCACCAGAACAGACAAGGGAACAGGTTCAGACATGTTACTTTTGCTGCTTGTGTTGGGCCAATAGCACAAAAAAAAAAAGGTGGAGTCATAAGGAATTCTGCTTGCTAACACTAGTGTTGGCTTTGCTCCAAACCCATGACCCTTACAACATGTCGCTATAGGATTGCTGGGCAAGCTGCTAGAGTCACTGAAGCAAGAGAGAGAAATCCCCAGATTTCCTACTGTGTGTAATTCTGCATAGCTTGAGCTAACCATAACCCCCCTGAGACACCTCTTTGTTTTAGTCCCAAAACGGCCCCCAGAAAAGATGCACACACACTAAAAAATTAGAACTCCACAACATTTATATTTAAAGCAAGTAAATTCTGATAACCCAAGACAACAGACTTCAGCAGCATTTTGTTACTTAAAGCAGCCTTCCAATTCTGAAGTGGGAATAAAATCTGAGAGCTGTATGCTGAGATGGAGCGAGATACAGCTCCTAATGAGTCTTCCCGAACAATCGG